CTTTACTATCCAATACGCTTTTTTTAAAACGCTTTCCCATATTTGCGTTTGTACATGAAAGCAACACGTGTGACGGTTTGAAGGGAACTCCCCGCTTCTGTAGTCACAATCCGCCTGCCCATGAGACTCCGGGACTTAAAGCGAAGGGAGTATTACAACATTGCGGTTTCAAGAATAATTCTGAAAGCTCGTCAACATCTCGTCGACAAGGTAATTGCACTACACTTATCTTTACCGCTGGTTTGTGGAAAGCACACCTAGCTATCTCCCGATCCACCTCAATCCTGCTTGAGGTTTACTGGTCAAGACTCAAGTCGTGCTAAAATAGCTGTTAATGTGTTATCTTCGGTGTGACTCTTTAGATAAACACAGCCGCATTTAAAGACACCCAGCCGCTTCACGGGCCGTGTGCTCACCCCTCAACGTTTCATCTTTAACCAAACGTAGCGTCGGCTAACAAATTTTGCCCATTGGCCTTGTGAGGGAACATTTTATTAGCCGAAGACAAATCATCCCTCGTTATCGTTAATCCCGATCCAACGTGACTCAGAGAGGAGCCACAATCCGAGCGGCCACCCGATCAAACTGTCGGTAAGAGAAGTATTCTGCCTCCGTTTACGAGGAGCTAAGAAATCCCAGAAATTGTGTTGAGGACGTGGGAGCCCGGTTGGATTGTAATTTAGCCAACAGGGAAGCTAGCCGAAGTCCTTAAGACGCCTGCTTGGCTATCTATTTTTAGGGGACCATAAACTCCTCTCGACACAGGGACGACCGAGGCGTCACAGAGAGAAACAACATCGTTGTTGTTTCGGTTTTTCTCATTTCTGTTTTCTAGTAATTTGTAGTTAAGGGACTCTATAGTTTAAAAAAATGAATAACAGATCATTTATAACGAAAGAGGAGTACTTCAAGTGAGTACTCCTGTGTTTGGCCTTTGGAAAAGGGTAGGAAAATAAGCTAATCTCACCTGTAGAGCACACAAACTTGCAGTTTGGTTGTTTACATTTGGTTATTCCTCCAGAGAAAAGAGAGAATAGTTTGGTGTAAAAACTTGGTTTAATGCATACAAGACGATTAAATGTGGAGCAAATGTTATGTATTCTTTCTAGTTATCTTTTTTGCATTTCAGGTAGGGATAATAAGAAAAGACTCCCTGGGAAATTCTACATTTACTAGATTACTAGAAGTGGTGAGACCCAACCCTGTACGTTGTTAAACATGAGAGTGAATGCATCCTGAACTCACACTCCTCCATTGTCAGTATTTATGGGCAAAATGTATTTATTTATTTATTTATTTATTTGTGGGCAGAGTTGCTCCGGCATCTGTTTCTGTCTCACCGTTTTCGTCCTTTTAAAACAGGCTGACCCGACAGAGAACACGTTTCCACACCCCATCCTCCTCAAGAAGGTCGAGGTCTTAACATGAACGTGTGTGCATTCAAATGAACTTGTCTTTGGAAGCCCCTGTGCATTTGGGCTCTTCACCTGACAAAGCTCTGTGTGACTTCCGAGGCCTGTCTGTGCCACAAATTAATTCCTTGTGCGCCGTCAACTACAGATCAGCAAAAAGCGACGGCGATCAACACGAACAGGGGCATGTCTGTGTAGAGAAACTGGTGAGAAAGCAACTCTTCACAGGCACAAACAGTGTGTGACTGCTGGCAATGTCAAGAGGGCGAAATGTTAAATGGGGTTTACTGTTGTCGTAGCATCCAGCCCCGTTGCGGAGAAAGCTTCACTGCCAACGCGAATCATGTCAGACTTCCAGGGAGCAAAACAAAAAGTGGGGCATCTGAGGAGAAAAGCAACGCACCAGCATTAGTCTCTGAACAGAAACAGCAGGCCGCCTGTAGACACAGCTATGAGCCACGATTCTGCTCAGAAGACTCAGTTGACAATCCCCGTATTGATCAAACATTGCCTCAGTTATTTTGCTGATTTGTCCTGGCCTGGGAAAGGCATTGTCATCATTTTTAGTCTTTGGAGTTTGAGAGTTTCGGGGTGAACTTGTCTTCCTCATTCACCCTGCTTTGTCCACGGGGGACTTCAGGTTGCTCATGTAGTCTGCGGGTTATGATTATCATTCAAATCAGCTCTAATTTTAAAAAGTTGAATCGGCCCTACACAGTCTTCTGCACCCCCCTTCTGCAGGGTTTGAGGAACAGCTCACAAGCCGACGCGTTCATTTCCTTTAGGTGTACCGGAGCATTGAATCATGTCGTACTTTTTGGGTCTCTTAGACGTGGCATTGTGTTGCATTACACAAATAAGATTTCTCTTTTTTGTATTTGAGCATCAATACTTGCAAGGCTGCTACAGAGGGGCTTTAGTTAGCTTGTCATAATTTATCTCATCAGTAACAAGCGGTGATAACTGGATCATAGTTTTTCCGTCAGAGAAGCGGTGTGCGATGGCCTCATAGCTGTCTCTGTTGTAATTTGAAACACATGTCGCTTCACTGCAGCTCATATGATGTCCCAGTTTCACATGGCCTATAACAGCTTTTAGAAATCTAGGCGAGCAGAGCTTCAAAGTAGCCTATCTTGTGTATTTCTGGAAGCACAGCGTGTCACAATATCAGATAAAATTCCATCAACAATGGAAAAGAGGGCCATTGTTTAAGCAGCATAATGTCATCTTTTGTAGCTGGTCTTTGTTTGAATAAATCAAGTAGCAATGAACTGTAGATGGATGTAGCACACACTTAATATTTTGTATGTTGAAGTTTGGGTTTTTCTGCTGGATAATACAGGTACCAAGTACAGGTGGAAAAAGGTGTTGAGTGAGAGTATTTGTTAAGAATGAAAGAAATTAGTTCAAGCACACCCTGTTCAGGTCAGCTTATTGTTGTTTTTCTGTCCTATTGTTCAAATGGGGTACGCCCTTAAGGGTACATCCCTGTCCTGGTTTGTTTCATGTAATGGTAAATATTCCTATATTCAGTTCTCTACGGCCACAGTTTCTCACGGCATTTGGTTTGTACACAACTTAAGGTAAACTAAAGATCTTTCATTGATATTGTTGCTGTGTTCTTTTTTCCCCGTCATGCTATATTTGATGTGGCTTTAGCCCGTGGAAAACTCAGATTTTTGTTTATTTTTTTGCCACATGTTGAAATCGGTAGGCTTATATTGGTTGAAAGTTTGTGTTTGAGAGAGAATGTTAAAAAGTCATGAGGTTTCCTCTTCTTAGTAGACTTTAATCATGCTCAACTCTGGATGTAGTGAACATATGCTGTGAAGTGGACTGTTCGTTGATTGTCTTTTGATCAATATTGTGATGACACAGTACAGTGATGACTTCGGGTTGACTAGTTTGCTGTGCATAACCTGCGCTTTCTTTCTCAAGTAGCATGATTTGGATTTAACAGATGGTTTGCACGTTGTTCCTCTTGTGAGTCTCTTGTGGCTGTGACTCATAAAGCCACAGGTGGTGGTTTTCTCATTAGCAGGAGGTACCTTCTATTACAGCGCTCCATGAGCCATTTGTCTCAATTTATTCCTTTGCTAAGCACCTCGTTTTGTTAACACGCTGATTGGACCTAATGATTTATTTGGTGACACTAGGATAACTAGGGTCTGTGGGGTTATTTTGGCTTTCGGAGGACTTTGTCACATCAAAATGTTTTCCTTATTGGAATGGGAAAAGCGCAGAGGTTTAAGTGTTTACCAGACCAAAGGTTCAGAGCCGACTTCATCCTGACCCGCAGCATCTACAGCTGATTTGTTGTTGTCAATTACATTTTACAACCAACAAACTAATTGGGGTTTTCTAATTGTATGAACTCTGGCCTGCTTTGCTCCACTCGCTTCACCACGATTCATTGCAGGTGGTTTTTCATCAGTAGTGTGGCGTTTGTTCTGCCACCTGTTACTTTCACTTTTTAGGATGCACATTGAGGTGCGCAACCAGAACATGTTGGTCGAAGCTTAAGGGCTGTTGTAAGTCCCACAGTACACATTTAATTTGATTGAACTGGACTTTATTCCCATCATCAAATAGCCTGATTGTGTGAACGCTATTTTTTCAGCACATTTACCGTTGGATTAATTTTCTATTTCTAAACTCCATTCTTTCAGTCTGATTATTGTTGTTGAAATACATTTGTCTCCAGGAAATGCAGAATACGTTGCTTAGAGTTGCTGTTTTCCTGTTGCGTTGAGCTACCTCTTGCTAGCAGGAGCGACATAGCGTGTGCACTGTGGGCAATAGTTTGAAACCAACACATTTTTAGAAATGGAAACATGAAATGTGGGTGGTGTATATGGGTGCCAGTTCTGAACATATTCAAAATGAAATGATATTTCATTTTGAAATATCAGACGGATCTTTCATTAAGATATAGCTGTGTTGTGACGACTGTGTATTTTTCTTCCTGTTGCTTTGGAAAAAAAAACATTGTGTCTGTTTGGAAATGGTTTTTAAAGGCCAAAGAAACCTTGTGACAGGTTCCAAGCCATAATTAAAGATTGTCTCTGAAACCCAGTCTTGAATGTGTCTGAAACATGGAAGTTAAAGATTTTTGTGGCTTGGTTGGTTCACAGGATACTCCCTCTCATTCCGAGACTCTTGACTCAGTGGAGGCACAGCTGAGTCAACTCCCGTGCAGGGGCACGCGGGAGGGATGGGCATGAACCCAAACGGTTGATGACGGATACACACAGCAGGGAGTTAAGTCAGTCATTTTGGGGTGAAATTTTAAGATGAGCTGACACCAAAATGCTGCACATTCCAAACATGTGTATTCATCGGACAAGTAAACAGCCAGCTGTAGCATAGCATCTTGGATGTTTACAGTGCATTGCTGCGTTTGCTCAAGGTTCAGGGGGATTGTGCGTCATGGCTTCCCTTGAACACATTCTCCTTCATCATAAAGCCTGTTGCTGAAACGTTTCCTCACAGTGAAACTGAACGGCTGAGGAACTCACAGGAACATACAGTGGTAATTTTTAACCAGCCGGCTCGGCCCTGTTGAATAAATATTGACTTTACATTGTCCACCTCTGCAGTGTGTGTATGCCTGTTGTAAATGGATACAGGTAAGAGTATTTTGTTCATCCGTTTGGTTTTTCTGAATACATTGAAAAAAGAAATGGTAAAGAGATACTATTCTTTTAGAGGTGGAACAATAAGAAAGATGACAGTTTTGAACAGAAGGTACACAAAAACGGGTAAATATTGGGTGGTGCTGCTTTTGTACATCAGATGCACTGACCTGTGTGTGTGTCTGTGTTATCTGTGTGTAACGCTTATACCAATTGTATGAAGGTGTCTTTCAGGTTGAAAAAAATATGAGAGCACCAACTCTCAATTGTAATACCTTGATCATGTTTACCTAAAATGTTTCTCCACATGAGACATTTTCCTCAGTAATATGTTATATATAATACTCATGTCTGTGTCTGATACTTAGGATGCATAGAAACTCCCTCTATAGAAGTAACAATTCACTGAATTGAAGGAAAAATGGCAGAAATCGTCTTTTTACTGAGTTCACAAAGCTTTCCTTGTTGCTCGCAGCCACCAACTCAAGCAGAGGCATGTTGTTGCTCTGGGCTCTTTTTATCTATTTTTCCTCTTCTGGAATCTTTCAGTGATAAAGATTCTGATTGCATTTGCCAAAACTAAAATGTGCGTTTGCGTTTCAGGCTCAGACAGATTTAAGTCTGTGGTTGTTACAAATTGTCAAAGTGAATTCACTTCACTAGGAATTTTTGCCCCTCCCTTTGTGGCTCCTTTCTTTCTTTTTTTTTTCTTTTTTTAGTTTAGTGAAACAGGAATGAACCCCCGGAAGCCTTTGTGCTGCGATATACAGGAAGTCCAGTAGGTGCTGGCTGCAGGTCAAAACGGCCTAGGAGATAATGAGGAATTTAAAGATGCAAGGTGGTGACAGGGTCAGGGAAATGGTTTTCTGTTTCTCATATGTGAGTGTGATTGGGGATTAGGTGCCTCTTTGAGCTGAAAAAAAAAACAGAAAATCAAACTGTTGACTGACTAAACTTTCTGTGAGGTAGCAGCCATACAGTCAGTGAGTCAGTTGCTCCTGACTGGCTATGAATGGACTGAGCATGGCACGTTTAAATTGCTGTCAGCTTGTCGTTGTTTTTCTTAGGTGGGATCATTTTCTGGTCATGTCATAGCTATGGCCTTGTGTTACCGGACCGCCCCCTCTCCCTTCCTGTCTGCTCCACCAGCCTTTTTGAAAAGGGGAAAGATTTACAGGACGAAGCGCAATTATGGCAATGTTTTTAATCTTCCCGTGATGCAATCTCCCCTCATCACTTTTTCCAGAGAGCACAGCTGCTTTAGCCGCCCCTCCTCCCCCCTCACATGTTTTTCTGCAGACACTATAAGCAGCATAGGGACATGTGAAGATACAGTAAGAGGGGGAGGGAGCATCAAACCGGAGTGTAGATTTCCTCTCCTTGTGTTGAACTGGTGCTGGTGGGTGTGGAGCTCATATACTTTTAAGAAGTGAGTCTTATGATTTGTGTCGAAACCAGGCTGCTGGCCGTGTATAGCTCCTGTGACAATGACTCATACTTAAAGGAAATCTTCTGCTACGTAAGCATTTCCCTGCTTTGTTAGAACGCCGCGCTGAACCACTCTCTGGTCTTTCTAGAGATGCTCATACCTTCGCTCAACACACTCTTTCTCCAGGACTCTGAGAGTTTTCCCAGAGGGACTCTCCCAGTCTCCACTCGCTGTCTCCAGGTAATGACACTGGTGCTGTTTTGCCCTGATTATAGAATTAATGAGGAGGCGCTCGGTGCCTTGTTTGTGCGTAATGTCGCCGCTGATTAATTATTTGTTAACTTTAGGGCACAAAAGAACTATGAGTTTGTTTTATGTCAAACAGTTGGCGGCTGCCGACGTGGCGGGGAAATGCTTCACCGTTAAGCTGCACGCGACAGAAATCGCCAAAGCTGATCAACTTGTGCAACTTCCACCGCCAAGTCACAACGTTCCCAATATGATGCAAATGACAAAAAACACTTTGTTTACATGGGAGTTTGTTCATTGCTGTTCGTTCAGGTCAGTCAGATTATTTCTGAGCAGCAGTCTTTAAGCTGATTCTTTGAGCAAAGGTCGCTGGCACACAGCTGACTCAGTGACAGTTAATCTCCGATCTGTCTCCGTCGTGAACTGTTAGGAGTCTGATGTAAGTGCTATTCGTCCGTCAGGTTCTCTTTATCTGCTGAAGCCTCCCCTTTGCTCTGATCAGGCTGCGCACAGGTACTCAGCTGTTCCGTCATAGAGCTGATGCAATAACCAATGCCCTGCTGGGCTGTTTGTGCACTGTTCATGTTTATTTTTGCACTCGTTCTTTTCACTGCTTTTATGTAACTTTGGAATCATGGGATTATCGGGTCACCAGACCTCGGCGGGAATGGATGTGATTCCAGGTGTTGTTGGAGTTGTAGAAGACTCAGTTTATAGGTTGTTTTTTTCCCCCTTACTTTCTTTTTTTTTTTTTGGCCCCGTTTTGCCGGCCTGAATGAACAGGCCTTTGAGCAGCTGAAATGAGGTGAGATGAGGTACTGGTGTGCAGTTTGTTGTCCTGCCAACTGTCCAACCTGCCAATGTATTTAGCTGCTGTTGGCCTGGGCCAAAGAGGCTGTACTGTGGCAGGACTGCTGGCAGACTGCCCTTTTGACAAGGATGGGTCTGACTCACTGCTCGGCTCCGACCTTCACTCTGATTTATGAGTTCCTCCTTGCAGTCCATTTCCCTCCTATCAGTAACTAGCTATCCAATATAAATCGGAGCTGGTCTCCTGCTTCACACCTTCCCTCCCCCAGACAAAAAAACACACCAGCCCCGAATTCACTACTGACATCGCAGGGTGTAAACAAGCGTGATATGTAGCACACGTGTGCCTTTCCTCCTTTTGCTCGACTGACCTGAGGTCTGGTTGAGAGTTCAGTCCGCAGAAACAAAGTGGAGTTAAAGCTAAATCAATAGCAGAGCTGACTGGTTGCTGCTATCCTATATTGTTGGGACTTCTCTCAGATATTTCTGTTTGATCTTTAGTGAGAAATGAAATGATGGGAATTGCTGGGCCTCTGTAAATAACTTCAGTTAGGGTCTGACCTGCACTGTGAAATGACTTGTTGTTGTGATTTGGTGCTATACAGATACAATTGAATTGAATTGAAATTGTTCTCCCATTCCAAACATGTTGTTGCTTTTCATCCCGCTCTCCTCCGTGTGTAAGGGGCTGTGCGATAACTGTGTTCTAAACCTTAAACCCTTTCATACACGTAATTCAAAACCGCACTTACATAATCAGAATGTAACTTACCCACCAATGATGTGAAAATGAACTTTACTCTTTGCATGCATCGTGAATCGTACATTTCACATGACCCCAGCAAAAAGAAATGTGAGGGTGAGCCGTCATTAGTTGGTCAGGTAGCTCTACACTTTAGTCCACTCTGGTCTGAAGCTGCCCCTCTTTCATGCGTGGAATCTGAATTCTAACATTTGGATTGTGTGTCTACGCTGGAAGTAGATGTGTATTCTTAATTTTTTGTGATTGTTGTCTTTCCTGGAACAGGACGGCCGCGTGCTGAGGAAGCTGATGAAGTGAGGAAGGCCTCTCAGATCACCTAACTGTGAGAGAGACGCTGCTGCTCCTCTTATTCTTCTTCACATCGAGGAGTCTGGGCTCTTTCTCCATGCAAGACGACACGCCATGTGCCAAAAGTGGAGACCTCTCACCGCTGCCCCATAGACAGTCGCTCCTCCCGTGAACTTTGCCCTTTAGTCGGAGGCTGCTCCTCATCCTCTGCACCGCCAACCGGCCAAGATGAAGAAAGTGGCGGCATGGTCGACTGAGGATGTTTCTAACTGGCTGGGCAAAGAGGGGATGCCAGAGTACATAGATGTTCTCCATCAGGCAGACGGTCCGGCTCTGCTCGGGCTCACCGAGGCACATTTCCAGAAGCCCCCCCTCTCGCTGGTCTCGTCTGATGGTGGTCAGCAGCTGCTGGAGCGTCTGGAGACGCTACGAATTGAGAACCACATCGAGGCTCACAAAAACGGTCACACAAACGGACACATTGGTGGGATACCCAATGGAACGAGTAAGCCTCAGAGGAATGGCATGTTGGGGAGGAAGGAATTCAAGATGGAGAGGATTCATATTCCTATGCCAACTATTGAAGCCGTGCGTTCCCCATTCCCTACAGAGTGGTGGAAAACGGGCATAGCATTCACCTACGCAGTGGTCTGCTTTGTCACCACCACTGTTATCATTTCAGTGGTCCACGAAAGAGTTCCACCAAAGGAGCACACCCCACCTCTGCCCGATAAGTTCTTTGACCTGTTTGACAGGGTGGAGTGGGCCTTCTCCATCTGTGAGATCAACGGCCTGCTGCTGGTGGGACTCTGGTTGGTCCAGTGGATTTTACTCAAGCACAGGTAAAGTCAAAATATGTCGACAAGGTGTGGTGGTGGTTCAGTTTTGGATCAAAATATGATTTTCCTTTTTTGTTCTGGTTTTCCTCTTCAGGTCAATTATTGGGAGAAGGTTCTTTTTCATTGTCGGAACTTTGTATCTCTACCGCTGTATTACAATGTACATTACTACTCTTCCTGTGCCTGGGATGCACTTTAAATGCTCTCCAAAGGTAAATCAAACCCCACCTCATACCTTTGGCTATTTTATGAAAACATATTTCCTATTTAAAGCCATGTAACGTGCATTTCTCTACATCTAAATATGCTTACAGCCTTTCAAGTGATCAAATTGGATAATTTTACTTTGACTGATTACACATTTGTGTCTTCAGAGGTTCACTTTGGAATTTAACGTTATGTTATATCGCTTATTGCCTCTGTAATTGATTTTAATCTGAGAACGCACTTGTATGGCAAAGTTAGTCATTTTGACAAAAGAAATATAATTGAAAATAGAAAATGGGAAAGTAAAACTTTACATCTGACATGTTTCACTCATGTTCTGTTTTAATTACTCTTGTAACATAATGTACTTTTTTGTTTGTTTTTCAGCTTCTCGGAAACTGGGAGGCACAGATGAGGAGAATAATGAAAATGATCGCTGGTGGAGGCTTATCTATCACAGGATCCCACACCATGTGTGGAGATTATCTGTATAGTGGCCACACTGTCATGTTAACACTCACATACCTCTTCATCAAAGAGTGTAAGTTGCATTGTGTCTATCTAATAGTTACAGAATAAACACAGAGGACGTTTGAACTTTTTGTCGCATCATATCCACAGTTCCCACCTTAGTGTCCCCTTGTGTTTTATAAAATTAACTATAAAATTAAACGTGTACAGTTTCTGTTTGTGGCTCTTGAGGTTTCCGCATCTCAACAATAACAGTGCGGGTTTGCTGAGTAGCTTATCAGAGGATGTAGGTGCACAAATGGAGAAGAGGTCTTGCACAATCTTTACATCTCTTGCCACACTGGTTTCAGCATTTGAAGACGTAGCAGTTTTAAGAACTACACTTTCTTTTTGGCAATTTCTTCTCATCATTCACTTCACACCAAGTGGGCTTATGTGTCAAAAGTTACAACATTTGAGCTTGTTTGTCAGATGTTGTAACTTTCAGTGTTTCTTCCTCTAAATTGAAAATCTGTCTGTTGTTCCATAATTCATCTGCCTCAGCACTCAGTACCTGTTTGCTCAGCAAACCGGGTTGATACGAACGTGACACCTGGTGGTGAAAAAGGGAAACACTCTGAGTCGCATTGCTACTCAAGCAATGCTTGTGCTCAGTGAACTGTATTTACTTCACAATCTCTCAGGCCCATGTGGCTCATTTGGCCTAAAGTCATGCATCTGTAATGGCTGATAAACAACACAAAGTAGAATTGTGTATTTCAGGAAAGCGTTTTTTTCCTGGAGAATTCCTCATAGAATGGGTTTGATTTGTGTCCCGTTTTTTCCTGATTCTCAGATTCTCCAAAGCGCTTCTGGTGGTACCACTGGATCTGCTGGAGCTTGAGTGCGGTTGGGATTTTCTGTATCCTTCTGGCCCATGATCACTACACCGTGGACGTGGTTGTGGCGTACTTTATCACAACTCGTCTGTTTTGGTGGTACCACACTATGGCAAACCAGCAGGTGAGTTCACCCATTTTAAATGAACCAGATGAACTATTATAACCCGTTTGACCGAAGTTAAACCAGCACTTCATCAGTGATATTGGATTTATTTTGTTGCTTGTTCTCTGTTAGCTAAAACAGTTACAGAGCCAAAGTGTACGTCTTTGTTGGTAGTCTGAAAAAAAAAAAAGGTATATCCTGAAATAATTTGTGGAAAAAAAGCTCTGAAACACAACGTTAAAAAATGAAAAAATACAAAAAACAAGTACTAAACGTGGCCGAAGACACTGGCTGATTAAGTTTGTGTTCTTGTGTTTCAGTCGCTAAAAGAGACGTCTCAGAGCAACCCATTCTCCCGAGTGTGGTGGTACAGACTGTTTCAGTACTTTGAGGAGAACGTGAACGGCACAGTCCCTCGAAACTATCAGCTGCCGGTTTCGTGGCGAGCTCTGCAGTGGCACCGTGCGGTGAAGTACAGCCGACTGGACATCCAGTGACCCGCGTCAGCTCGGCGCACGCGAGGACTACCACTTAAACAAGTGCTTTTTATTCTCTGAATATGGCACTGTATGATGTAGCGCTGTTCCTTCACCTCTGCTAACAGACACATGTCCAAATGGGGAGCACTGTGACCCATCCAGATTTTTTCCTTTTTTTCATCCTTCGCCTCTTCTGGTAATATTTATCAACACAGAGCACTAATTTATTTCTCTTCCTTCCTCAGAGGTCACATGCATTTTTTTCTTTAGAAACAAGTCTGTAAATCTTTTCAACACGCTTCTAAGCTTGAAGTTCGTGGTCAAAAGGCTTAACTCTTTTAGTACAGAAGTATTATTCATGTTTTTTTTAGTGCAATTGGGGTCAATCAGATGCTTATTCCAGAACCAAAATGCCATAATTATTTCTTTTGCTTTTTTTTTTAATAGCAACTTCATTTTTGTAATTGTTCTTGCTAAAATGAGTGAAAGGTGCAAAAAAATAATAATATTTTTTCTAAATATTTGAAACTTTATTTTTCAAAAAGCAAATGATGTCAGACAGAAGATTTTTAGATTTTTATCTTTTTCAAGATGGATAATTGAAAGCATAAGAAAATAATGTGGTGTAACATTATTCCAGTGCCTTTCTTAGCTTGATTGTAAGTACTACATGTCTCGTGTGTCTCTGCTGCGGTACGACCTCGTGCTGCGACACGGTCACGGTCTCACTCCAGTGAATGTACAAAACGACTACGCCAGCCTTACCAGATGATCGGTCTTCCCCAAACAGAGGTGCAGTGAGTGAATTGGTCTGTTTGTTAACGGATGCTTTACGATTGTTTCCGCTTACTCGGTTAATGCTGTCCTAACAGAAAGGAATGACTGTTAACTGTACTTTTTTAAGTCTTTCGTTTTTACCTGTCAATCATTAACCCACACCAGCCGCCTTTGTAACCACATCACTGAGGCGCTTTCGGGTTGATACCTTAAGCAAGCATAGTTTTCTGAAAGTGGTGCTGCATAATTGGAGGCGGATAAGAAACACTTCAGCATTGCTTTGGGCTTTTATAAGCCCTTCTTTTACTCCCATCATGAATTCTCTTTTTAAAGTTCCATATGAAGCTCATTAGTGTCTCTTTTTGTCAGGTTTTTGGTGATGAGCTTACAGGACGTGTTAAAGGTGATAAAACAGGAGCTCCGGGGGAGTTTCCGACTATATTGGTGTTCAATTTATGCTTGCCTCGTCTTTTTCTTCTTAAGCTGCTGTTTTGCAGTTGGATGACAAATGAATTTTTAAGAGCAACTCTAAAACTCATTCAGCACAGAGCTTTGGGAACAGGAGGAATATTTGGACCCTGGAGCTGGTGATTATTTTGGCCATAGATGTGCAAAGATCCTTTTTCCATGAATGTGAAACTGCATCCATATTAATCCTAATAATGTATTTGTTGATTTGTATTGCTTTTGTTTTTCCATGTGTAACTGACTGAACTGTAAAGAGTATTATGCTAGATTATGTATAGGGGAAGGGTTGTTATTTTAAACTTTCATTTAAAATTGAATTCAGAAGCTGTGATAAAGTGCACAAATATATAGATTAGGCAACTTTCAAATAATCAGCAGCAAGCAGGTTGAAGGTGTGAAAATAATGTAGTTTTCACAGTGAATTAATTGAGCTGTTAAGTTGATTTTCAATGCCAATCAGAGTCTTGATGTTTCAGAAAAGCCTTGCCGTTCTTTCTGGAGCATTGTCCAATCATTTCACTTTACTGGAGAAGATTCTCTCAGCTTTGAAGAGCACAGCGGGTTCCTCATTCATGGCTGCATTTCAAATTTTGCCTGAGGGCAAGGATAAGGATGAAGAATTTAGTTTGCCAATTATGTTTTTTGTTTTTTCGTTTTGTACGCGTGTGTTTGTGTCTCTGAGAAATGAAAGTCAGTTTAGTTCCTTTCAGTAAACTTGTCATTCACTTTGTCATTTTTGTGTGTAAACCAGATGTAAGTTAGATATGCTAAACCCTTCTATTTGGGATGTTTTTGAATAAACCATTTTACTATGATGTATTTTATTTCCTGGGATGTGGTTTCTTTGTCGTACACGGTCTTTTTGAACATGTGGGTTTCATATTGTGTCAACTCACTGTGCCAAAAGATGACATCATTGCAGACCCACCAGCAGCCAGCAGAGGGACACATTGAATCACACACACACTCAGCAGTAGCCACATATTGAGTGCTCAAAATGTTTTCTCCTCCATTCTACATTTTTGCACATCGGTTAGTCTAACAGTATTATGTCCTTTGTTTTCTCTTTCTCGGCTACTTATCCAAAGAGCAAATATTGCTCTTAGAATCATGACCTCTTTGTCACTACACAGCCAAAGTCACAACAGAGGGCCTTCACCATTTGAAGTCTCACACATATCTGCTTTGTGGTTAGGGAGCAACAGTTTGTAAGACAGTGATAAGTGAACTGTTACAGTTAAGCACTTTAAGCTCTGTCTCTTTAGAGAAGTGGCTGACTCTCTCAGTCCTCTGTGTGTTGCTGTGTTCACCAGCTTATTGCCATCTCTATCTGTTTGCAGTTTAATGTTGACTAGGAAACACAATGCAGATTTTTGGAATGTTCCATTTGGAAGGTAAAAATGTTTGATTTTACAGCGAACCGGCGCACCGAAGCTGTCGATCAAGGGTAAGTGAAACGGGATACCCAAAAAGTTAGACTAAAAACCCTATTTTTCAACGCTCTGACACATCAGATGTTTCTAAAATTTGTTGTTGGAATGAATGCCTAAAAGCACCATTGAAATATTCAGCACCTTCAGATGCTGTGAGAGCGCTTTTTAGCAGAAATAAACGGTGTGAAATGTGGCTGCTTACTGACTGATTCCCAGCTGATGTAAAACACAAAGATTTGAAGAGGCTTTTGTTGATAAAAGGCGTGAATAAAAACAAATGACAATTCTAGGTGCCCCTTTCTTCTGATTCAACCCAGTTACAACAACATTTCCCCAAACTTGAGGTACTTGTACGATTCCTTTTCATTAAATCTGCACACAAATATTATTTCACTGGGCATCACATCTTAAAAAATTAGGTGGAAGAAAGCATTGCACATCTGCACTTTCTCAGTAAGTCCCCGTTCCTATTTTGGAAATGAGCATACATGAGAATAAAACCTCCCACACAAATATACACAAAACACTAAGTCTTTCTCAACTTTGTCAGAGAAGTCGTAAAAGAAGTAAACTTTTAAAAAATTCACCCAGTTTCAATTGAGCAACGCAGGAATGTTACGAGGCTCTCTTTGAACTCTATATAAACACGACCGAAGAATTTCGTTGCGCAGATTATCAAAGTAGTGGCTCCATGCTGGTGGATCTCTGCAGATTCTGGCCACATTCGGCCCCAGGGGGGTCCCAGAGACCCAAATAAAACTAATTAGGTCACGACCTCAGCTGGTGATAAACTTTGGCCGGAGGGTCTGTACACAGAGTTCTGCAGATGCCTGCCAGGAGTTCACAAGGTCCTCATAATTCCTCAGCTTGAAGCGGGCACATATTTATTTTGAACCGAGCTGGCTCCTCGGTCCACTGGAGACTTTTCCAGCACCCCAGAAAAAGCTGGGCTGGCCAGCCAAGCCCGACTCCCACACACTACCACTGTACACACTGAAAAAGGGAGGGGGAGGAGAGATGCTGCTCTGTAAACATCGTATAGTTCCGGCTGACTTCATTATGTGGGGCAGAGGGATGCTCTCAAGATTGCTGAAAGCCTCTGACAAATATGATGCAATAATGCAGGCGTGTGTGGGAGTCATGAGTGTTAAAGATTTGTGTGTGGTGCCACCTTTTGATATCAGTAGATTGGTAGAATTCAAATAATGCCTTTTCTTTGAACATCATTTCATAAAATGAGTTGATTGATTGCATGTGAAGAAGAAGCCTCTGCTTTGGCACGCTCACAGCAGCAGACTGCTCTCCAATCTGGACACTCTACCCTCCGTCCATGACTAAAGAAAGACTCGGCCGACTGTTGTTCGGTATATGAACATTCATTTTTCATGACTGTGTGTTAATACTTCTTTGCCGTGGAGTAACCTACTCATGAGGCCACGCAGCCGAGAGCAGCGACTGTCTGATTCATGGCTTCACGAGCAAATTCTCTTCTATTCTAAGCAGTGCTGTGGTCTTTCCCCATGATACCATACTTAGTCTGTAAGGATCAGGTTGTTGGAGTGCAAATGGAGTTTTGCCTATTAATGGATGGCTCGGAAAGTGGGTGGTATGAGAAAGAAGGATTTTGGTAATAAAACTGCCAAAATGTGTAGATAAATGTCCTTCCCCCTTGGACTCGCTGTCACTAGTGATGGCCGTTGTAAAGATACACACGTATTTATGTACTTGGTTACGACTGATTTTTAGATCAAATAAAAAATTCCTCCCCAGATACGTGCTGTATGTGTTTTTATCTGGGTATATCAGAGCTTATGCTAAGCACACTCTGAGGCTCTCACTCTATTGGACCCTCTTTTTTCAGGTTTCCTCCAAAAGGTCGAAGAATCAAAGACCTCCAAGCTCAGAGTTAATGTGACTGTTGTTGCTGCTATTGAAGCCAATCACAGCTGTAATAACGATGGTTATTTTTGATCTCACACATTATTATCAGAGCTCCTGAGGTGTAATGATATTCTCTCCATCGTCAGGCTTTCACTGCGTCTCCAGTGGCCATGAAATTATGAGGTTCTTAAAGAGCTGGCTGCACCCCTCCCAACCTCCCGTGCCAACCACTGAAGTTTATCCTCACTTTGAAACCCTATTCATCCTGTCATGCTCTGTCAGTTGTGCCAGCACGCTCTGAAGCTTGGAACTGTTGCAGTTTCTCTCCAGCTTCCAATGGAGAGATGACTCACTGACTGGCAGCTGTCACAGCCAATATGACCAGGAGGGAGATTTTCAGAGGTTGGGGAGGGTCCCCTGCAGACACGCACAGAAGGCCTGAGGAGGGATGCCCGACTCCAGCTGGGGTCTCCAGTTAAGCTGGAACACGCAGAACCCCCTTCTACTATCGGTAATCCTGAACTGGCCGAGCTGGAATCGTCTCTAGAGGATTACACACCGTCTGATGCAACATGTTAGAAGTCAGCTCACGCCAGCTGAGGGGATACTCTTTGCGAGTGATGAAGACAGTTTCCGTGCCATCTGTCGACAGTTCTCCACGACCGCTGCCGGCAGAATAATCCGAACAAACATCACGGTTGTCTAGCTATTTTACCTGGAATCCTCAGTTGTGATGGATTCTTTTTTTTTTTTAATCTGACACTTTGCCTCCAGACCTGTAATGGACTGCTGACTTGTCTGGGGTATCTGCCTCTCACCCGGTGACAGCTGGGATAGGCTCCAACCCTCTTGTGACCTCAGTGGATGGACTTTGCTCCCAGGCTGATGAGCCACGCTGTGGAGACAGCTCATATCACACACATGCTTGTCTCAACAAATTGTAAAAAGAGCTCTATCAGGAGGGTATCACTTGTATTATTTGGTACTTTTGTTAGATTTGTCTAGAATAAACTATTTCCATACGGCCCATACTTGAAAAAGGATCTTTAAATTCTTAATTCTTTAAGTTAATGAATTATTTTTTCATCTGCAACTAGTCTGGAAATCCTGTGACAGTTCTGTACAACTAAATGGTGTTTGCTGGAGAGGACCTTTCATCAAATGACATTTTGATCTGCTTTTCATGATTTTACGTAGCTGACCTTCATCCCACATTCAGGCCTGTAAACTATTATATGAGTTGATATATAGTATTGACAAACTGAAGAGGCCGTGAGCTGCAATATTTGACCAAATATTATATAACGTGTTTTGTTTTAACCCCAATAACAGGAAAGCCAAAACAAAGGCAACAGTCCCACTTAAAGCTCCATTTAATTTGGATGATGGACAGGAACAGAGACAAACAAATGCACCTGCAATCAGTGACTTCTCGGAATTATATTAGATCATTCCTTGAAGGCAGGATCCAAATGACTATCTTCACTTACTTTAGGCTGTGCCACTGACCATATATGTGCCATTTTTGTAATTGTTTTTACTGTTATTTGGAGGATTTTCCACTCTATATTGATTCCTGAGGGAATAGAAAACATTATGTAAAAAAAACATGTGAATTATTTTTTTCAGTATTATGTTTTGATGTCTAATCCACCCAAAATCCACTGTCTGAATTCCATTACCTGTTTCTGCTTAATGCACCGGCTGTGTGTCTGTGACAAAGAGGCCTTAAGTCCTCAACTGACGTAATTGCTTTAATTATAAAACAAAATTGCCTCGTCCACCATGAAAACAATCGCTAAAAAACAATCATTAAATGACAAACGTTTTTAGTTCAGACTTTGAATAGCCCATCAGCAGGGATCAGTCAGCCTAAATCAGTTGAAAATGTAGCAGAAACCTGCACTGTCATCTGAATGCGGGCCTATCTCTTCCTATTTTCTCCTTCTTTGATGATTCTCTGTGGGTTTGGAGATGCTCTCATGATGACTCTTTGCTACCGCTGTGTTGTGATGTTTTGAGCCCAGCTGTCTTCCTCACTATTTCACAGGGTTCCCTTTCAAACACCCAAAGCCTCAAAAATCCACAAAGGGGGAGAACTTCCTTTGAACTGAGGTGGCATTATGACTTTTCAGCTTTGACGTGGCATTTGGGCTGCGCACAGGTAAACGCGGAAATGTCAGCGATGGGTACAAAGCGTTGTTTCGCTGTGTGGCTGTTGATTTTCTTTCTTCGGTAAGCCTAAAAGGATCGGACGAAAGCACGACAAAACGTGGAGAGTACAACTGTGAGGCGGTCAGAGCAGGAAAGTGTCTATCTTTCAAGTTGGCTCATTCAACAGGTCTGACTTACGTCCAGATTAACGGCACCACAGGATCAGAGAGCGAGACCCATCCAGCCAACCTTAAGCTGTTTAAGCTGTCTTTCAAAGCCAGTTCAGCCACTGGTCCACCTTCTCTGTGCTCTTTCCACATTTCACTTTTTGAACATGATGCCTATTTCTCT